AAAAGAAAAGAAAAAACATTAGAAAACAAAAAAAAAAAAAAAAAAAAAAAAAAAAAAAACTCAATACCTTGTAGCAATGTTCAGTATAATCTGAAGTAGATAAGAGCGGCCTTTGCTGAAATAAGTTATGGAAAACTGTCCTACCTTCTTTTCAGATTCCTCTTCAGAAGCAGCCTCAGACTGGTCACTCGGGGAGGGAGGAGTGATTTGGCAGGGCCTATGACCTACCTGTTCCTGGAACACAGTCAGGATGATATCCACTGCATTTAGCACCATGGAGTGCACTGTGTTAAACATCAAATGGTCAACATGACGAATGAAGCTGGGAGGGTTAGAAACACGGAACACCTGTGTTAGATTTGCCTCAATGAATGATTAGACATCAGCGTTGCAGTAAGTGAAATTAGGCTATCATTACTGCTATTTCTGATTGTGGTATTTGAGATAACATTTACTTTTTTTTTTTTTTTTACTTTTGAATAACTCTACAACTTTTGTTTAAAAAGTTAATTTAGTGTATTTAATACAAGAAAAATGCATTCAGATCATGTGGCCTGCTCTAAAAAACACAACAAAAAACAAAATGCATCATAAAGGACAAAATTCCAAAAAACATAATCATTAGTAAAGTGATGTTTGTGACACTTTTGAGGATAGAGAGAATAATGAGGGTCGTTTCCTAAAGAACACTTAAACAATGGTACTCACATTAACTGAATACTACCACATAATCATCTACAGTTAGAGAAGTTCCCAAAGGTTTTGAGGATAATTAAACTGCCATTACAAAACAACATAATCACATCTTTCAAGAAGAAATGTTGGCAGGTTTTGAAAGTTTATTTGATCTGACTTCTTGCTTCATATGCATGAAGGAGTATCAACTAAGCTGTAAAACAATATGCAAAAATATGTTGAATCCTATTACAAGTTTTAGGCTTAATCCAAGCAGTGGAAAGGCTAATGCGACAGTAGAAAATATCACACAAACGAAACAACAGCAAGAGATGAATTTGTCATTTAATATTTTTAAAAACGTAGCAAAAACAAAATTTGTTTCTCTTGTCCAGAGTTTATGTCATTAATACAATGAATAACACATGCAATCTGTTCAAGATAAACAAATTTAGTCTTTGCTACGTTTAGTTTGTAAAAATTACAGTTAGAAAAAATGTGGTATTTTCTGGCATGCATCTGATGCTGTTTGTGTATGTTGCCCTTACTTCTTGGTGTATGTGCTATTTGTGTATTAGAAACTATTAATACTCTATTCTGCTATACAATGTATAACCATCAGCTGGAAAAAGCACTGGCCAACTCTAAACTGTGGCCAGCTGGAAGCTCAACCCATTCTATGCATCCTCACTCTGTCAGCTCATGTAGATTATCTGTATGAGTATCATGAAAGTCTTTGACCACAACAACATGCCTGCTGTCTTCTGAATGTGATCTAATGTTATCGCAATCTCAATTAAAAACATTGAAAAAACTTGCGTAAAGTAAACTCATCTGGCCGAAGCAGACGAGAACATGAATGTGCAACAAAGTCATTTTGAACTTTCGTGAACTTATAATATTTTTAAGTGGTTTCATAATCAATTTTTTTTTTTAAAGTGAAGAAACCAAGCTGAATAAATGCATATTTACACTGTTTGATCAATAAAAAAATAACTAATAATCTGATTGTTAACTTTGAAAAAAATAAATCCAGAAAAAAACGAAAAGCTTCTTATTTTAATTGAATGTTAGATTTAAATGACTTGCTAACCACTAGATTCTGCTTTTTAGTACATTTTGCAGAACATGTTAACTTTGTGAAAGCAAAGTTGGACACAAATGGTAAAATTAAGAACACAAACAAAGAGAAGAAATTTTACTAACCAAGTCATCCGCCTATAAAAAATCGCATTTAAGACGTCACTGTTAAAACTCCTTGCAGACGTAGTTTTATGCTCCAGGAGGTATGCACGTCCAGCACAAACTGTCACCCCCTTAACAGTCTCTCGAAAGTGCAGAAGGCTACTCTGTATCTGACCAAACAAACACAAGCAAAAGGTTTCAGAACAGGCCAACAAAGACAAAACTTTAAATGCGTACAACAATTAATTGTGACGCATTTGTTCATGAATGCACTGCTGCACCTCATGTTGTTGTTGGACCAGGGACTCGTAGAACTTGGTCAGTGTGTATGTTTGGTTTGCTATGACGTGATACGTCCCTGTCTCAATGAGCTGGCATGAGAGTGTCCTGATTTTCATCAATGCCGCTCTCAGATTCTAGAAAACATATACATGTAACAATTCATTGTGAAAATTACACACATAATTCTTTTCTATATCCCAGGTACATTTTAATAACTCAAAATATTATCAAGAAGTTTAATTATTAGCCTAACACATTATCTACATTAATGACATGTTATTGAATGGTCTTTTACCACACACTCCTGACAAGGCTGTAGTCAATCCATTTGTCATAGAGTCCCTGGAGCTGGATACAAAAACAACTTTGCATCCAGCTCCTTTAGCGATGACATTTTATGGCATGGAGCACCATCCTCGCTGGCGGTGTCAATGACTAAATAACTGTCAAGTCAGTGCTCATTCCCATGAATGTGCAAGGCATAACATAACATTCCTGTTTTAAAATCCTTTTGTGAAAGATTTAAATTTTCAGAGAAACTGAATTTAAGGTTTTCATTAGCTGTGCACAATATTGTCTTTTTTTTTTTTAATCCCAGTCTATGAAATGAATTTACTCAAAATATGAGTTTCACTTTTTAAAATTACCTGAGTATATTAACTTTTTCACGATGTTCTGTTTTTGAGATGTACCTGTGCTTGTAAGGATTTATGTGTTATGGTTGTCCACGCTCTGCACAAAACATACCGGGTCCAGTATAAACAGGTCGATGTGGAGAACCGTCTTGGCGACGTCACGCTTCCTCTTATACACCTCGCTGTGCCACAAAGTGAAGGCTTTCCAAAGTCTTTGGGAAGTCAAGGCTGCGGAGGATTCTGGGTCTAACTCATAATATTCTCTTTCTGTCAAGTCTGCCAATGGTTTATCGTCGATCACTGATAAAGCTTGATAACTGTATGACCTTGTTTTTGATGAGGGCGTGGTTGACTGGGCTTGGTTTTCTGTAAAAAGCATCCGATTGAAGTCCCTTATAAGTTGGAAGCTGGTTGTTTTTGTCGCCTTTTCCTGTTTTTCATGTTTTGTGATCTTTTCCTGTTTCTAGAAAAAGAAGAGGCAGTTATGTGGGAAAAAAAGACCTACTACAAAGAAAATGTGTTTTTTTTTATTTGTTTAAGGAGGTTCATAGACAACTTATAGCTTGCTCAAATGATGTTCTAAACATTGAATCTAAAGTGTTTATTTCAGTCATTTTTATGAGTTTTTTTTTAGCTTTATGGTTTGATCTTAGCTTGTCAAAATCTCACCTTAAGCGAAGGTTTTAGAGGAGTAGGCACTTGTGGTTCAGGGACCTTCTGTGTGCTTTCTGGTTCCTTATCTGTGGGTGACGGGGTGTGCCAGCCTAGAAATATCATTTTCTCACGGGCCTTCAAGTGTTGCACACTGGGTTGTTTTCGTAATACAGGTCTCTTTAATACAGCCTAGATTAAGATGAGGAAAATGTCTAAAAATGTGCTGAGAGTGTAAAATGTTAACAAAGCTTTACAGCTATTATTCTGAGACAGCCATTCATGGTCTGCTCTAAGTGGCTTTTACTGAGGATAAAATTGGGAGTGTTTATTTAGTATGATCAGCCTGTAAAGGTAAGTCTCTCTCGACTCTGGAGGGATGTTGTTAGGCAGAAAAGCACTCAGGCAACATAACAAAGGTAATGCTTCAGTTACCTTAAAATCCTTCGATATTGCGGTTGTTTAAATGTAACATCTATCTGCACAGATTACATTACATTCAAACATTGCATTTATTTTCTTTCAAAAGATTAAGAATCACACAAAAGTCCTGGCATTCAAGCAACTACAACAAGTTGACTAATCTGGTGCACAACTGCCAGCAAAACAGACACTCAATATTCAACAACAGCAATGTCGGCCAACTTGGGGAAAAAATAATAAGACATTTTAATTTTTCTATATCTAATTTCTAAAGTAACTCAATAAAGCTTTTCTGAGCTTAGACGTTCCTTTGTTCATATCTTGCCTTTACATGGAATATATAACTCAAAGAATTTTGGAGTCTGGTAATATTTTCTTCCTGCTTGTTATAAGTATAACATTGTTTGTCCTTACTTCAACTGTTAAATAGAAAAAAACAGAAACGCAACAGTTTCAGAACTAAAGCTTGCATATCTTAATCATGCTACAGCAGAACTAAAGGAATTCATCTTCTACGTGCATTAAAAAAAAACAAAGGAACACATTAACAAATGGATGACGGAGAGCACTATGGGTGCCACTGGCCACTATTGGATAATAAACTCACCATTTCCCAGTGATAACTAAATTGAATTTCAGTTTTAGCAGGCATTCTTAATACATTTTGAACTGGGAGCTCAGAACAGTTTTAACTTTGACTTCAAAGTAAAAAAAAAAAAAAAAGAGGGAATTGCCAAAGGGGAAGTTCAAAAAGCAATAAGTTACTTTATTCAGAGCAAATGTAATATGTTTCTCAACTTAAAAAAGGGAAAAGAATTACAAAGATATTTTTAGTTTTAAATGTAACTTAAACATTATAATCACGTGTGATGAAGATGTCAATCAGAATGTAAAATTGGGTAATTTTTCTTTTTTTTTTTTTTCCTTTTATGGAAGGGTTGGTTGTGCTGTGTGATTTTGTCAACATAACATCCAAACGTCCTGGATGTTAATATATCTGCTTAGTATGAGTACAACTAATGCAGTTTTATACCTGTTCTGGGTGAATTCCAGCTCCCTCGGCCCTTAAGTAGCCACAAAGCCTAGACCACACCTCCCTCTGTGATTCATGGCATATTTTTATGAGCATAATGATTAGATACACTTTCTTTAGGCCTCACCTGTGGGTCTACTTTATATTCAGGTCCTGGTGGTACAGTGGTGCACTCCACTCGATTGAGATTGCATTCTACAGCAAAAGGAAGGTTTACTACCATTACGAAACGGGCTAACTACAGAAGCATTTAACTGTCAGAGCTAGGAAATAAATTCAGCACTATCTTGTTAGAACAAAATGCAAAACTTGCTTTAACAAAAATAAATTTTAAATCCCGTTAACACCAGAACTGTTGAGCTTCTTATTTTCTGATTAAAAGTACATAGAACAGCTTCTTTCTTCTGTTTCGAAGCCTGTGTTAACAACGTTTGTAGACCCAGTGACCATCGTAAATCCATCATTGAAAGAGCACCCAAGCACAGAGGTGGCCTCCCGGATGAACTTATCCAACTGCTTAAAGCGTAGTATGCTTAATGTTGCTGCTCAAACATTAGAAGATTTCTAATGCCGTCCTAGTCAAAAAGGTCTTCAGTAGCATCCCCAGCACTCCAAAAGACTTCAGCCTCCTAAGCATGAGGAACGCTGACCCTTGCTATAACCCAGCCAGCATAACTAGGTGGGCCCCATATGGGATAAATGAGAGCAAGAATATGGGTCCCAGAAGGTTTTGTTCATGGTTTCCGTGGGAGCTCTACATATTTGCTCTGATATGGGCCAACCAAGGGATGCTGGCTGAGGAAGAGCTGTGACAAAGTTAGTTAATTATTCAGATTAACACCCAGGTACTTAAGAGTCCACTATTTATATCCGAGTTCCCTGGATGCTAACTGATGTCAGTGCAAATCTCTACAGCTTTAATAGTTCAAACAGAGGTGGGTAGCGTACCAAAACATTGTGCCTGAGAGTAGCACTAAGTCAAGATATTTTTTAAGTTGAGTAAAAATAATAAATAACCTTCCAAGAAATTACTCAAGTAAGATTAAAAAACTGCTTTATGAAAAGCTACTTGAGTAATTGATCATATCTAATTGAATACCTTACAATCAGACAGACACAAAAAGCATTAATTTATGTGCCAGTTCTGGTATTTTAAAGACTAAAATAAAAACGAAAACAAGTTACATTACAAATTCAGGCAAATCAAATATGTTTTGATTTTTGATATATATACACCTGGTTTAAAGTATACAGGAATTGAATGAACGGTGTCATCATGTTATTAAAAAGTACGGCGCTGTAAAACGTCTCCTAAAAGTACTCCCCACCCCACCACGCCCTCCCCCCAAAAAAAGTTACTCAAATAAATGTAATTAGTTTCTACGACTAGTTATGTCGTTATAACGAGAAAACAATAGTTCCTCTGACAGCTCACTTCTTGAACGGCCATAAAGGTATGTCCCATCTGACTCACATTTTATCACTCTGTTAGAGCATATAAATCTTGTTAAAAAAAAATAAAACCTTCTCGTTATAACAATATAAAACGAGAAAAAGTTTTATATCTCGTAATGACAAGGTGCTGTTCCTGAATATTTCCTGGCTTTAGCAGTTAAATTTGCTTCCGTAGCTAATAACCCATGTCAAAATGTCTTGTTTTCTTTGCGTTCAATTCCTCTTTAGCTACACCCACCTTCACCTCGGAGTGGCCTGTCCTTTATTTGCTTTGAAATGTCTCGGGGAGAGGACGGCGACGGTGCAGAAGCCATCATCTCTGGTAACTACAGACGTTGAGACAGAAACACTAGTACAGCCCGTGGATAAAAGAAACAAACTGCGGCGTAACGCAAGTATTATAGGAGTTTTTAAAATGTGAAACCTGGTTTCGACAGTGTTCTTAAAAATGTTTGAAAAAATTAAAAAATAAAATAAAACACACTTAGCGTACTTTAGCGTCGTTTTCCAACGAATTCTCCAAAGAGAGCTCTACTTTATGAACAAATCTTTTTGCGTCTTTGTTTTATGGTTACAAACATGAAACTAACGGTTAGTTACCTAGCAACGGGATTCTTAACCTTACAGATTTTATCCAAAAGGTTTACTCATTAGCTCCCCCTGCAGTTTGAGTGGAAGCAGATCAAAAACACTGGTTTTTCACTTTATTCATTTATTGAAATACATACAATTCCTTGTTAGAAAATATGGTATTAAATGCCTCAGGAAACGCAGCATCAACCCAAACTATGTGAACCTAAGAAAGAGTTATCAAAACATATGGCTATTTTATTATTTCCCCAAAGTTATGGCCACTTGTCATAGAGTCCCTGGATCCACTGTGGCAGGTTTCCTTCGCTGTGATGCGAACATGTTCAGCTGTAAAACAAATAACATGCACATACTGTAACTAAAAATTTAATCAACTTAAAATATATACATCTCAATGGGAGAGGTGTGTATGTTTATCCTGTGTAGAAAAAAAAAATGCAGCTACCAGTACCTGATGTGAAGCTGTAGTTGCCTTCTGTTCAGCTTGTGTCAGTCTTCTCTGGAGACGACTTGTCTTCTCTTGATATTCTGCAAGCTGTTTCTCATACTGAGCAAACACAGATCAGTTTGACACATGGGGTGTAGCGCCAAAGTTTCTATTTAAGATTGTTTTCAAAGCACAGCAGTTCAGACAAATAGTGCAAATATCTCTTGTCCTTAAGTATAAATTAATTAGAGTATAATTAAATATTGCATTTATCGTATTGAA